ACCATGAATTGTTCAAAGATTCATCGTCGTAATTTTGGGCCCAGAATCGAAAACTTAAAGAAATATTTAATTGCTTATTTATCTGCTAAATTATCAGTTACCTTCTTCTAGTCTATGAATTAATCATTCATCTTTCGCAAAAATGTTTTAAAAAATGGTTAATTGTTAAATCAGTGTTAAAAAATTAAGAAACATGCAAAGAACGAACATAAACACGCAATTATGGATACACTATCAAACGTAGATACAACTAAGCAGTGTCTCAACCGTTCTCCGGATCCGTTTCAAGATTTCTAATAGGTTCTCCTGGTACTTTCTATATCTACTAATGAGAATTAATCTTCTTACTTATTTTGTCATGTGTCTATTTTATAACCTACTTGCCGAATCTCTCAGCTCGCTACTGAGGTAGCGCTCGTTTAGCTAGCTATTTTCAATCAGTCAGTCCAGAACTTAATTTCTTCAGTACTGATCTACTACTCTGTTACTTGCTCACTTAACCTAACTCCTAATTTAAGTAGTCCAATTTACATTTTCAAGAGTCTAAAAATGGCCAGTCTGACTCCAGGCCAAAGCGACTCCTTCTTGGTCATGCGCATCGATTCGGAAATCAGCTAAGAGATGTTAACCGTTACTTTCTGGTAGTCTTTGCGTAGAAACGACACCAATGCGTCATATAATGAAACTCACAAATTACAAGGCGACGTACCCTCCTTCAGCTTGAATTACCAAGCGATACTTTCGACCGTTTACTCAGAGCAGATCGACATTCGAGACATACATATAATGCAAATCATAGGATAATTGGCTGATTTTCAACTACGGACTAATCTCATTAGCCACGTCAAAGTAAGACAACAGGTTCTTTAAATTACGCTATGATAGCTGATATTTTAAGAACACCCTCAACTTTTTACAAACAAGTTTTCCATCCATGACACAGCTTTTATAGTCTCCTGATGAGAGTTGAAAGGCTCGTACACATCCTTTCGATCACGAATCAAACTGTATCGATCAGCGTTATCAGAACTTAAACGACA